ACTCTCAGACAATTTTCAATATTCTGCCATCATGTTTATAAACAGTTGGCTTAAAGCTCTGCTTCCCTGAACTTCCTGTCCAGCACAAGATCACAGGGGAATCCGGAGCACTGTCTTTGATTGGCTGCACAGTCACCATGTTTCAACGCAGTCTAGCTGTTGTGGGAAGAGCACACACTTTAAGGTTAGAGGAGAATGCCCCCCAGGTCTGTCACACCTCTGAGAAGAGCTACAGGATGCCTTGTTTGAAATTTATCCTGAATATCTTCACAACTTTTTGCCAGAAGGCCAAAAATTATTATATGAAATAAAATGTTATGACCAAATGTCTGATAAATTGAAACAGGGATTAAACCCACAAATGTAATTATTTCCCAATAAAAAGCTCACGTTAGAAAAATGCAAAAAATATTGTTTAATCCTAAATCGAAGCAGGGTGATGTGGTGTTTTCAGGAAGCTATATACAGCACCCTGCTGGCCCCTCCTACCAGCCATGATCTGCCCACATTGCATAGCGAAGCAAAGAGACCCAGTAAGGATCTCTTGCTCATTCTAAAATGTAATAAAATAAAGGAAAGATTTTAAATTTTTTTTATTAGCATGATGATGAAAGAGAATGAGAAACCAGCGAAGGTAGATTAGATTTCAGCTTTGCTTAATGGCCATTGAGTTGTTTTGTTGTCCTTTTTTCATATTTGTATTTAGTAGTTGAACTCTTCTGGATCTTTTTGCTATATTAAACTTTCTCTATTGCAGGTACAGAAGCTGCTATGTATGTGCCCTGTTGACTTTCATGGGGTATTTCAACTGGACGAGAGACGAAGAGATGCCCTTATTGCTTTAGGCATTTTCTTGGTTGAATCCGATCTACAGGTATGTCTTATACTAATAATTTGTTTTCTGGTCTTTTGTGGCTGTCAGCCCACAATTATCAGTAAGCTTGATGAACATCATGTTTTTTTTTTTTCTTTGATCAAATCATTATGCACCACTCTTTAAATAATACTGCGATTGTGTTATTTTAGGAAGTGCTTGGTGCCTTTTCATATGTTTATTCCCTTCAGGAAAAGAGGCGCAATGTGCTTTCTTCTTTTGTTTTTTTATGCAAGTAGGAAATATTGCAAATGAAAATGTCCTTTTTACCAATGGCGCCATTTAGTTCAAGCTCTAGGCTGGCTGCTCTCAACTCTTTCACCAGGCTGACTTTGCTGTTAATGTTGTGATCAGACATTGATAGCTGGAGCTTAAATTTCACATACAAAGTAATAGGGCTGGAAGGTAGGACACCATCCCTCTGAGCTCTGTTTATTCAGCTACATGACTACTAATGAATTCAGTTAGACCAAAGGCAGCCAAGAGACAGCCAGTGCTAGACTTCGGAGAGCCCAGGATGCTCTGCAAAATCAGCTTCATAGGTGCTCCTTGTATTAAAGTGACACTTAACCCAGGAGTTAAATCTTAAAAATGCATTCATGTGCCCTAATAACAAAAATGTACCCAATTTGTGTATCACTCAGCTGTAGATCCTCAAATCACCTCTGATTTCATGCTGACACTGTCCTTCCTTCTGGAGGGTGGCTACTTTTGTTCCCCATGGTCCCTGTGCGTGTTGTAAAGTGGCCACCGCTCCAAGCTGGCTCCTGTGATGCACTACAATCTCACATTTAGTTAGCTCATTTTTATTATAGCTTATCACAGGAGCGAGCTTGGAGCGGTGGCTACTTAACAACAAACACAGGGACCACAGGGAACAAAAGTAGCCACCCTCCAGAAGGAAGGACAGTGTCAGCATGAATTCAGAGATGATTTGAGGATCTACGAGGATTTAAGAATTAACCCCTGAGTTTAGTGTCACTTTAATTGAATTTTTTTTTTGTAAAATGGATAATGTAGATTATAAATCAATATATATTCTATCATAGCAGTTTCTAATAATCAATACAAATAATGAAAAACTGTATATAACATACATTTCTAAAACAGACCAAAAGTTTATTACAGTTAACCTTAACACATTGGTTGGATTTGTTGTGTTTTACACTTCATTCTGTAAGTACATGAGTTTAGCCTTCCCAATGCATCCCTACTTTCCGATATATGTATGTCACTGCAGGAGGACAAGTAGTTAAGTAGTAGTAATACAAAAGCCTAATGCTGGCTGTAATTTTTTCTTCTCAGTTGCTTGCAGTCATGTAGACAGGTTATACTGCAGACCTTGTATTTCACAGTAGAGATGAGTATTGCATTAATATTGTATCTATCCGTATATTTAGCACAAAGACCACACGGTTCCCTATCTTCTGAGGCTTTTAAAAGGTCTTCCAAAGGTTCTGTGGATAGAAGAGAATACCTCTCGGCAAGCTAAAGGTGAGGATATATTCTCCGATCCACTAGTTATTTACTGGTACATTTGTCCCTATACCAAAAAAAAAATGACATGGTGTGGTCTATTTATACATGTTTTCACACAGCATTCACACAACTTTCAGCCAAGACTTCTGTTTGGATTCAGTTGGAAAAATGTGTGAATCTTGGGTGAAAAAATATATTAATAGACCCCACTGCGTTTAACTACATTAAAGAAATGCAGTGTATCTTCTGTTATATTGTATTTTATATACTCTCTATATTGTTTTGTTCTAAATTAAATTTATTGAACTATATGTCCAGCTTAAAAAGAACCTGAACTGTCCCAAAATGCTTTTAAGGGGGCAACAGTGCTAAAGTACAGACATCTTGTGCTTTTTGCAAGAACCCGTGTTAGTAAACATGTTGATCTGTTTGTCTCTGTGGAACCCGCTTCCATCCCATGACCAGGTTGTATGGAGCCTAAATTTTGACTGAGAATAAGCTTCACCCCTGTTATTCACATGTCCAATCCAGGTTCTCTAGTGCCTGTTTAAAAGTCTTTAGTGCTGGAATAGATTGGGACCTAATCTTCAACTTGGGCAGAAGTTGAAGGTCTGTGTACAGCCTGGGCCTAGGATGCAAGAGGATGAGACGAGGATAGATTTGAAGACTAATGCCAGCACTTGCGGACATCACATGGTTCTTTAGGACTTTTGCTCTCTTAGAAAATTTTTTGCAGAGTTTAGTTGTTGGTGCTTGGTAATAAATAAAAAGCAGACTGGCTGTTAGTTGATTTTAGTATAGTTTTTAAATTCTCTAAAGACAACGATTCTCCTTATTGTATTTACTTAGGGCCAGCTTCTTTCATTACCTGTTCTTTGCACACTGCTCTGTATTAGGCCAGGTCTAGCTTATTTTAAGGGTTTGCTCCCTCACCTACTGTACAACTTAAGTGTGTGGGTCTTTCTCATGTAGTATAGTATTGTACTGTGTTAGCCATCACATAAAATCCCTTTAAACGCCAAGCTTAATATAATAATAATTTAGAGCCATTCATTAACAGTCAGTCTAGTAAAGGGGTCAAGCAAAGATATCGGCCTCTATTGATGAAGATATTTGAAGGGTTAAACTGCATGAAGGAAATGTTAGTGAGAAATATAATTTGCCAAGTATTAGCTGTTGAATAGTAGATTATAAAAAAATTAAGTGTTACTCAGTACTATTATTTTTTTACGCATTCCAGCAGCTTAGTATAAAAGCTATGGCAGGAGACTGGTTGTCTTTACTTTTATGTTCCCAGATTGCCTATAAACTTTTAAAGCAGACCTTTACACTAAAAAATCTAATTCTGCCAATGCCTTGCTCTATGTATAATGCATAATAATAACAGACATGTCAGGTGTAAAATGCTGTGCTTTTGAAATACTTACACTTGCAGAGCATTCACTTCCTGCTTTGAAAGGGCAAATGACTTCAGTTTGGCAAAGCAATGCACACTGGGATTGCCTTGTCATCAGCAGAGCATTGCTGGGAAATCTCATCTGTAATCTCTGGAGATCTTAGCGAAAGGCATTTTCCTCCCCTGAGATGATGTGCATGGTCACATGTCCTAGTGACATGTGCCAGAAATCCAGGTAGTAAAAGGTGATGCATTAATCTGCCCTTAATAAACATACCCACTGTCAGAAGACAGATTGCAGTCCTACTATGCAGTAGTTTGCATTGGCTTCAAATGCCCTTGTAAGATGGTCACTTTGCCAGTCTAAAATCCAGCTGACAAAATCAGTGTTTAACATTTACATACGATTGCATTTTATGGTCATGATGCAACATCATATTTCACCACCAGGTGGCTCTGCATGTAAGCTATAATTGGAGCTCCCTGTATAGTTAGGAAATGTCCCACTTTTCCTATGGAAGTTCTGAATAATAAAACTTCTGTATGTGTGTCAACTCTTGATTTAGGTTTAATGACTCTTTATTATCACATATCAATCAGTTTTTATTATCTTTATCACAGGTACACTTCCAGTTGCAGAGACCTTCAGCTTCTGTCTGGTTACTTTACTGTCTGATGTAGCCCATAGAGATGTGGCATTCAGAGGGCAGGTAAGAAGTACTTAAGGGCATTGTATACATTACCATCTGACCATACAATCTCTTGTACAATCAACTTTAGATTTAGCAAAAGTATGTTATCTGAGGTACTCATAGTTAAAGTAACAAATCAATTTGCATCCAATCAGGCAGGCCCTTTCACTACACAGGTGTTGGTAAAGCTAAAGGAGACTGTAATACAGTAAGCTCTAAAGAAGGGGGTCTAGCCACTGAAACCTGTTGGCTATTGTCCACCATCACATGCTGAAGGGTCTCTTCATCTTCTTTGTTCAGTACTTGAGTTATTGATCACGGAATTGTTTGCTGATATTATCTGGCCTGAACATGTGAGTAGAAGGGATGTCTGATTTTATATTTTTTATCTTAACCGAACATTCAAGTCCTCAAATGGCTGGTGTCATAGCTTATCACATGTGCAGCACATGGCAACTGCTATCCAAATAGAGGCCGAGATGGTGCTTTCCTAGGAGGGTGTAGTTTCGCTTTAAGGCAAAAGGGTGCAACTTTATGGGGTGAATGTATCGGAGAATCTGACTAGCAAATGTGTTTTATGCTTGCTTTGAGACAACTGATGGGAATCTTGCAATGATTGGCAAACAAATCATTTGCTAATGTATAATTATCCCCCATACAATCTCCCACACCTTTAACAATGTAACGCCATCTAAATTCAGACATTTTTACATGTGCCTGTGGGTGGTTTGTTTAGGGCTCTAGCAACCAGCGGGAATGTAACACATGGAGCTTACACCCCCTATACACAGGAAGGCTTTTACAGATACTAAAGGAAGAAAATAAAGTATTCGCCATTTGGGATTTGTTAAAAGTCTACTATGTGCATGAGGGCTGCACTTCACTGTTCTGTGGTACACTGTTCTATGCTCAGAAAATCTAAAGACACAGGTTCCTCTAAAGTGCTTTCTAAATGCAAGCTTGGTCTTTATCTCTGGCATTCTATCACTATGACTAGATGACATATTTGTGTGTTGTGTCCTCAGATATTGGAGACAATCCTGGATGTGACGCAATGTCTTCTTGGAATGTGCCAGTCTGTGCAGATTCAGGACAAAGGTGAGCTGATTGTATAAAAAGACATTCGATTTTGTTTATAGTTCATGGTCTGTTAATGTGCATGATGAATTTCTAAGTGCATGTATAATAGGCCCCTAACAAAGAGATCATTTTGTAATTGGACAGAATTAGATCCTCTATTGGTGGTTTTTTTTTGTTCAACGTGCTGTTTTTCAACCTATCCCTTCACATTATCAGTCAGTTAGCTTAGAATAATGTGTATGCTGATCTGCTCCCATATTTCACTGCAGCTTTATGATAATGTTAGTTTAGTGTTTTCTCTACACTTGTTTTCAAAAAAGGTAGGAAGGCTACATTCCCCCCGCAGTCTATATAATGTCATTTTAGTTCTATATGTCAAGAAACGCGGAGTGTGGTATTTATACTGCTGTACATTGTGCAGATCTGTCCTTCGGTTTACATCTACTAGACCTACCTATTTATTTATTATTGGTATTCACTGTATATAGTGTTGGCAATTTACATATTACTTTACATATTATTCATTCACATCAGTCCCTGCCATTAAGGAGCTTACACCTATTGTAGGGCTGCAGCTAACGATTATTTCCATAATTGATTAGTTAGCCGATTATTAAGTTTGATTAATCGGATAAAAAAAATGGCTCCAGTGATGGACTACTAGTTTGTATTGAGATTGTAGTCCATCACGGGAGCAAGCTTGGCGCGGTGGAAGTAAAAAAAAAAAAAAGTGTGGTGTGCAATATAGTACATTATACAGGGGCGCAGTGCAGAATATGAATTATGATTATACGGCAAAATGCAGAATACCAGCAGCTATAGAGGAATACAACAAATGCCAGCAATAGTACATTATACTATACTATTATGTATATAATGTATTATTGCTGGGATCTGATGTATTCCTCTATAGATGGTGTTATTCTGCATTGCGCTGTATATAATGTATTATTGCTGGGATTTGTAGTTCTCTATAGCTGGTGGTATTCTCCATTGCACTGTATAATGATTATACTGCGCAATGCAGATTACCACTGACCAGTTATAAAGGAACTACAAATCCAAGCAATAATACATTATACAGCGCAATGGAGAATACCACCAGCTATAGAGGAACAACAAATCCCAGCAATAATACATTATACAGGCTACTTAATATATTATTGCTGGGATTTGGTATTCCTCCATAGCTGCTGGTGTTCTGCAGTGTGCCGCTGCATTATACAATGCAGAACACCATGCACAATACAATGCAATGCAGAATACCAATGAGTAACTCGTTTATGGAGCCGCGAACAGGCGGCCGTGAGCGGCGAGCCGGAAGTTTACATTTTAGCCAACGAATCGACGATGGAAAACGTTGACAACGTTTTCCATGGTCGATTTTAATCGACTTAATCGAATAATTGTAGCAGCTCTAATCTATTGTCTCTATCTCATATGCACACATACTAGGGACAATTTGTTATACCCAGAGGAAAACCGCAGAAACACAGAGAAAACTTGCAAACCATGTAGATAGTGTCCCGGCTGAACCTTAAATCCTGGACCTTAATGCTGCAAGACAGACGTTCTAACCAATGTGCTACCTCTTGATCACTGCTACACTGCTTTATGTCTGTAAAGTTTATACACTGCATAAACTTCACAGACATAAAACTTAGCGGATATGTTTACATATACTGTACATGATCTAGAAATTTAAAAATGAGTATTCTTGCCTTATTGGGGTTGCTTTTAGTGCATGATATAGGAAATCTGTTCTCTTTTCCTGCAGAATACTTGTGTAAATATGCAGTGCCCTGTCTGATTGGCATCTCTCGGGCATTTGGACGATACAGCAACTCTGAAGAATCTCTCCTGTCCAAGCTGTTTCCCAAGATCTCTCCTCAGGCTTTAAAGGCTCCGGAGGAGCTAGAAGGGATCCGCAGGCGCTCCTTCAATGATTTTCGATCAATTCTACCTAACTCACTGCTGACAGTTTGTCAGGGAGACTCACTGAAGAGAAAGACCAGCAGCGTATCTAGCGGTTCACAGGTACAAAATTGTGATTTTTCACTTTCCGCTATGTACAGACACTTAAGATGTGTAGAGGGGAGGGTTTGCAATTTTATATCCTTTCTATTGCTTACCAGAGTGACAGACTAAATCTAATTCCCTAATCATCACGGTCTTTTACTGTTTTATGTTAGCCCTAAGAAAGTAAAGTAACTGCCCTAGAGATGTGGCAAAGTAACAACCAATATTCGTTCTCGGTAATATTGTTAACCACTTGAAGTCCGCGGTGTTAAACCCCCTTCCTGTCCAGGCCATTTTTCAGTATTCAGCGCTGAGGTACTTTGACTGACATTTATTCCGTCATGCAACTCTGTACTGAAATCAATTTTATACCCTTTTTTGGGGACAGATAGAGCTTTCTTTTGGTGGTATTTAATCATCCCCTGGGGTTTTTATTTTTTAATATATTAAGGAAAAAATTACAGAAAATGTAAAAAAAAACAACTGTTTCCCCCTATATTAAATTCTAAAACATTTATTATTACCCAATTTTTTGGTAAAATATAAAAGATGGGGTCGAGTCATGTAAAAAGACACAAAACACGTCAAGCCTTAAAATTGCGCACGTGCGCAAAACCTCAAAAAACGTCATTACCCAAAATTGGCCATAGGCGACGCTATAAAAGCTTTTACCGCTCTATCAGTTTAGTGTTATCAGTGATTGATGGCCCTAAAATTATTGCTTTCACTCCGACGTTCACAGCGATATGTAACATGTGTAGCGCAATTGTCGTTTTCCCGTGCTGACGCATCTGACGCATGTTTACGTTTATATGTGCGTAAACGAAGGGGGGGGACTTAAACATTTTTTTGGGGGGGGGTGGTTACTTTTTTTATTTGTGACTTTTATTTATTTTTTTACTTTTTTTATTTATATTTTATTTTTTTACACTTATTGTTATTGCTATTACAAAAGGGGATAACAATCCCCCTATATATTAGCAAAGGCACACTGACAGGTCCTCTTTATGGAAACATTAGTGGTCTCTAGAACCCCTAATGTCACCTGGGCACCCCAAAAGAAGCTGATGAAGTAGAGATCTGCTTCATCGGCTTCTTCTCTCTGGCTATAGAAGCCCAATGACTGACAGGTGAATGCGGAAGTGATGTAATACACATCACTTCTGCATTCACAGCACGGAGGGAGGTCGGCAAGGAGGAAGATGCTGATCTCCCTCCCATCTCCCTCCCATCTCCCTCCCATCTCCCTCCCATCTCCCTCCCATCTCCCTCCTGACGCCGTCCCGAGCTGGTCCCGGGTCGCAGATGGGCTAGTGGATCCTGAGATTGAAGGTGAGGGGTCAGGAGGGGGGGCAACAAACGCACGCCATACAACCGATCGGCGGCTATAGAACCGCTGATCTGTTGTATGTGAAACAGCCGTTAACGGCTGTAAAAACGAGCGGGCCTTCCCTGCCCGTGTGTGCGCGCAGGAAAAAAAATGCCGTCTGGAGACGGCAACCCGCCAATGCGAGTCTGTTTTTTCTTAATGGGCGGACGGCAGGAGGTTAAAGCCCAACTCCAGGGATTATTTTTCTCTTTTAGTTCTGAAAGGAGTAGAGATAGATTAAAGTTTGTGCCAGGTTTTTATGTCTTTCTCTGAACCCATTGGGAAGATTTTTCCCTCAGCCTGTGTCCCAATGACACCCTTATAGGAAATGGGAGGAACAGCTGTAACAGGAAGTTGCAGGCATCTATAAAAATATTGGGGTCATTTAACTTATGGAATAGAGGCTGTTCACTTTGCAAAGTAAATGATGGTATATAAGGTTACCGGTGTTTACCATGAATACCCAATAATGTGCTTGTGATGTTAAAAAAACAAACAAACAAAAAAACAGAATTGTTGCTTGCACATGATTGGTTGTCTGAGGTGAACACAGCTTCTTCTAATTTATTTAGCTCCATGAACAAAATAAAAAATATTTTAGGTGTTGGCTTTTAGTGTGTTTAAGCTATTTTGTAACTTAAACTTAATCTCATTTTCGTTTTTCCAGGTTAGCCCTGATCGCATTGTCCCCCTTCCTGGATCTCCAGCAGGATCCAGCATCCCGTACTTTGAAGGTAATTTGTCATGAGTCATGTGTAAAGAGGAGTGTGACAAATTTGCATCTGGCTTTCTCATGGTTGCCAAGACTGCATGAAGTACGATAATGCTTGTGCATTTCAATGTGTTGGCATACACTTTGAATTAAGTTGCGCTTTCTCACCATGTTGCACTGCATTTTTTTAGTGTGTGTGTTGTGAGCATGTTAAATCACTTTCCTCTGCCACAAATGTACCAAAGCATCAACTGGGAAACACTGAAGTGCATCCTGGTGTTTTTTTTTTCTTAGCGCTTCCATTGACTTGATTAGTAAACGTCCATTGACTTGAGTTGTAAAAGAACATGTGTAGCCTTTTTTCCAAAACATAATTTTGTGCAGCGCTGCCATGGCAACGGGCTCTTGGAGTTCAGCTTTCATGTGGGATTGTTCTGCCCTGGGTTGATGAAAAGTCCAGTTTGGTGTATTTATGAATGCTTGGCCCTGTTCAAGTCCTTTCAGGGCACAGGACTGTATAAGTGAGAATGCATTGCAACGCATGCTACTGTTTTTATATTGTGAATAAGCAGAGCTTTGTATTACAGTCCTCTTAGACATCCAAGCCTTAACTTTTTGCAGTTTTAATACTGTAACAGCTGTGCTATAGTTATTCCAAAATAAGCTTGCTGCTTAGGTGTTTAATGGAAAAAAATGGATTTGTGGTCTCACATCCAGCCATTTTACTGTTTTCATCCTCCCAGGTTCCTATCTGCCAGATGGCAGCTCAGTAGACCCGGATTATTACCTCACCACCATCAGCTCTAGCTTCTCTGTGTCCCCTCTTTTCACTGGTGTAAACAACAAGGATTTTGACATTCCACAGGAAACCCTTCGCCACCTACTAAGCATGGTATTGTTATGTGATATTTTCTTCAGATAAGCCTTTATTAAGTGTGTGGCTTTGCCTGGATACAGATATGAAATATATTGCTTTCTAAAGTGGTCAGAGTGGAGCAACAGTGCTAATTTACCAATATCACTGGCTGGAGGGAGCGCCATGACAGCTGGTTGCCTCGGAAATTTGCGTGATTTTAGCAATTAGAGACAAATGAGCACTTAACCCTTGTAGTGCAGGAATAGCCCCACTGCAAGGGTTAATCAAAAGAATTCCTGGAGTTCTTTGTTAAAGTTAGACTGTTGCTTTGCCTATTAAATTGCTATCTGTGTGAATGCTTTCTTAAAAATGAATTCCTTCTGTGGTTATTTTACAAAGTTGGCAGCATAACTCAACTTACCATAGATGTAAATATTAGGGATGTACCGATACTAGTATTGGTGCCGATGCCGAGTATTTGGGCGAGTACTTGTACTCCCCCAAATGCTCGGATGCCTAGCCCAATACTTCCGGTATCAGTAAGCGAGTCATCACATGCTGACCGGCTTCCTGATTGGCCGGGAAGCCGGCTCCATGTTCCCTCATCACTTGTGTGTAATGACTCGCTGCCCGGCTTCCTGATTGGTCGGGAAGCTGGCCAATCAGGGAGCCGGGTGCCGTGTAATGACGCGGCGCCTGGCTTTCTGACTGGTCGGAAAGCCAGCTTCATGCTCCCTCGTCACCTCATGACAAAGGAGCATGGAGCCAGCTTCCTAGCCAATCAGGAAGCCGTGCACCGCACCATTACACGGCGCCCGGCTTCTTGATTGGCCAGGAAGCCGGCTCCATGCTTTCTCGTCACCCAGTGACGAGAAGCATGGGGACGGCTTCCGGGCTAATCGGGAAGCCAGGTGGCGAGTCATTACACGCTGCCTGGCTTCCTTAATGGGACTTCTGGTATCGGTATTCGGTATTGGCGAGTACTGAAAAAAAAAATATCGGTACTTGTACTATATACCAAAAAAAAACGGTATCGGTGCATCCCTAGTAAATATGATATCTTCAGAATTAACGGAGAATGTATTTTCTCATGACCTTGCTATGAAACAATGGAAGTATGTATGGCAGTATAAGACTGCAATATTATTGATGTATTTTTGATGAAAAGTGTTAAACCAATCTTGATTTTTCTCTGATACTGAAGACCATTTGTATTTTCCTGCAGGTGAAGCAGATTGTGGCAGATCCAATGCTGAGCTCATTAGATTCCCTAATAAATGAAGTTACAGAGGTACACTTTACACTTGTTTATACCTTTTTCCCTAGTTTATGCAGGATTAATCCTAGTGGATTACTGCACACAGAAAAGAAATATAGTCTCTCTCACTCGGTCATCTTCTGTAATGTTTATTTCCCGCTAGCTCTGTAAAGGTTTGTGATTTTGAGTTCCCATTATCCAATTTTGTTAAAATGAGATGCTGGTCTATCCACGCCGTTCTGTTCCAGGAGAAATGGGCATCTCAAGTTTTTACGTAACCCTTTATTCATCATTTGCCAGTGTATTTGCATTAAAGGCGAACTATGGGATGAGTGAAATACACTCATCCCCATAGCTAGAACTGAGCAATCGCAAGCCACTGATCACAGGGATTCTCTCCTCTCCGATCCTCCAGCGCTGACTGGAGGGACAGATGGGGGGGAGGGGGCAATGAACCCAGCTGGCTCTTCCTCTGGGTGGATCCCAACAATATATTGTCAGGATCTTTCCCGGCTGCAGCACGGCTCTACGCTGTCAGCATATAGCGGTCAATAGCCCCCTATATGCTGAGTTTTGGGTCACAGGAGAAGATTAGTAAATGTCCTGTGACCCTAAAGAGAACTACGGCCAAAAAAAGGGTTGGCCATAGTTCTTTTAACCCTTTACTGATCACTTTGTTGTCTACATACCTTTAGAAAATACAGGATATTTCTTTCCTAAAGGATGTTTCCTTCTTAAAATAGGTTTTATTTTTACTCCTTTTTTTTTTCTTATGGAATTGTTCGCCAGTGTTATTATTATACAGGAGTACTATAGGGCCAACAGTTTGTGCAGCACTTTACAAAATAAAGGGATTAGTAAGTCCCTGCTTGTGAGAGCTTACAATCTAAAAGCACTAGCATTAGCAATGAACTAAAATAAAAAGTTTCCCCTAGAACTGACATTGGTTTGCATATGCTATTGATGCTCAAGCACAGATCAATGTTAAGAGCTATAGGTGCATAGAACGTCAGTGTGGCTTTCTGAAAATGTAATGCAAATGCATTGTTTCAAGCTGCTTTACAGCACTTTTATCTAACTGAATACATGTCAGAGAGTGTTTAATCTGATTTTAATATTTTATTTTATCTTGGAAAATCCATTGCACATATTCAGTATGTTTTTTGTTTTTTTTCCTTTTAGGGAAATCCCAATGCAGATCTGTATTATAAAACATTCAGTGATCCACTGTATGTGGCAATGTTTAAGATGCTCAGAGATACACTGTACAACATGAAAGGTAAGTGTTCATAACTGATCTTTTCCAGAATGGAATATATATGGTGCTTGTTTAGAGTTTTAAGCGGTTATGACAAAAAAAATTTGGCCTAAAACATTTGCACGTTTAAACGTTTAGGCCAGAAAAACTTTTAGGAATTTATGCCTGTGTTGTGGAAACTGTATTCTGCATATGGCAATGTTAAATATGTAGACATCTTGCTATATATCGCTAACGTATGTTAGAAAGCATAATGGTACATGGCCAGCTAGAGATTTGCATTGAATTATTCTTCGTTGGTTTCACCAATACCTTCATAGGATGTAGTGTAGTCCTCTTGCTCATACCTGGGTAGCATATCCTTAATCTGTTAAAATAAGTCTGTTAAACTTCTTTTTTAGACCTCCCAACCTCATTTGTGAAGGAGATCCATGACTTTGTGCTTGAACAGTTCAACAGTAGCCAATCAGAGCTGCAGAAGATACTTCACGATGTGGAAAAGTTACACAATGAACTTAGTCCTTTGAAGCTTAGGTGTCAGGCAAATGCAGCCTGTGTGGACCTCATGGTGTGGGCAGCAAAGGATGAACAAGGTAAAACGTTGTAAATGGTGGAGAAAAAGCTTTTCTTCAGCTTTTCTTCAGCGGTTCGATTCTAATCAAGATATATTTATTGCCTTTTATACCAAAGGTGCAGAAAACCTGTGCATCAAACTTTCTGAAAAACTGCAGTCCAAGACATCCAGCAAAGTTATCATAGCTCACATGCCTCTCTTGATCTGCTGCTTACAGGTTGGTTTTTGACAATTCAATTGACTTTCGGGTGTGTGAATCTCATTGTCTGAAGGTTTACATGTGTTTTGTATCTGTGACTCCATCTCTTCGGGATTTTCTGGTGATACCATCTCCAGTGCTGGTGAAGCTGTACAAATATCACAGCCAACATCAGACAGGTACTTTTTCTTTTATAAACATTTTTTATTAAGTTTTTGTAAACATTTTTTATACCCCAAAAAAGAAAAACAATTCACCACAAACCATACTTGTGGAGACAGGTACTCTTTTTTTTTTTTTTTTTTAAACCTAGTGTTTAAATATTTAAGGGATCCTGTCTGATAGAATTCCGCACCCCTTCTGAAAATACTAGTTGCCTACCTGTTATGGTGATCATCTGGATTTATTACTTTTTGTGTTGTGAACCTGGTACTGGTTTAATTTGAAACCCTAGACCTGCATTATTGTGCCAGACAGCTTGCATTTTCAGGAATAGCAGCAGAGATTTTGGTTTTGGCAGGTTCTCTTTAAAGTGAAAACTGTAGGCTGAGCACAAAAATCACTTCTAAGTGTGCAAAGTTAATAGTTGCATACCTTTAAAGTATGATATAATAGGTATAATTTTTCACATTTTGTAATAGAATAGTATTTGCTTAAAACTGTACGCACACAACTGGCTTTATTTGCTATTTTTTTAGTATTGTCCTAGAAATATATCCTGCTGAAAATAGTGGTGTAATTGGAAGAATTCCTGTTGACAAGTCTGTAAAGCATGTTATTACAGCATGGTTTTTCTCACTTATAATCTTAGGAGGCAATGATATCAAGATTAGCATTACCAATGAGCACTCAGAATCCACAATGAACATAATTCACGGCAAGAAGAGCCAACCATCTATGTATGAACAGCTGCGGGACATAGCTATTGAGAACATCTGCAGGTACTAGAGTTTGTAGCTGTGCTACTGAAACATCAGGGAAGCTTAATGGGTGTACTGTTTTCCATTAATCCAAAGGAAAAATTGAGGTGTAGCCCATAGTAACTGAATTTCTAACCTGTACTTTAAAAATGATAGGAATCAGTTACTATGGGCAGCACATGCTGCCTGATTAATTTGCAAATATTATGTTAGAAAAGACATTCTACTTCTGTTTAGTGTTCGTTATATGACCAGAATACTGAACTCTCTGGTTTGTTAACAATAATACAACCTTGTGCTGACAGGAAACATCCATCTGCAAGCTGTATCGGCATTGTCATCAGAATGTGAACTACTATAGCGATGACCTTACTAAACTAACAAAAAGAGACTGGAAAATGTCCAAGATACACTCTGTGGTAGTATGCAAATCCACAGTTGCCTTGGCTTAATGCAATAGGCAGTGAACACAATGTGATATTAAAAATGAGAACTAGCCATGGAAAATTACATAAAAATACAGCTCGTTATGGCTGTTAGAAATATTTTTGCAAGCTAAGTTATGTGATATTTATTCTATATTTCATTTCAGGTGTCTAAAGGCAGGGTTAACCATTGATCCGGTTATTGTGGAAGCTTTCCTGGCTAGTTTATCCAATCGCCTTTACATTTCCCAGGAGAATGACAAGTATGTAACATTGCTGAAGTATCATTTTCATTGTGTTGATCCACATAGCAAGGGTATGTTAGTCTGTGTGAAATAGAAATATTGGGTCTATTAAATGCTTGCACTAATTATTGCCTATGTTGACCTAACAACCAGTTAGATTTAACCCTATGCTAGAAAAGGGCACTGTTAAAGGGATTAAAGTCAAAAGGTTTTCAAGCCATTTCAAATGCTGATGAAATCACTTACAATGGATGCAGCTTCTTGATGTTTAAAATCCTTGAGCACTGGCCCTGATATCCTGTTTTAGTAGTACTAGTAAGCTGTGTGCATCTTAATAAACACACAGACACAGCAAGGCAAGACACAACCCCCCCTCCCCCACTCCTCCTTCCTTCTCCAAACTAGTAGATGGACAACTGCTGGAGACCTGCACTGTTGCTTGTGATCTTGTACTGGACAAGAAGTTCAGGGAAGCCAAGCTAAGAGAGTTGGTCAAAAATATAAAGAATTACTTTGCTGGGTAATGTTTGTTTGATTTGGATTCTTTATTGAGAAACAATTTAAGCGTTTAATGCTACTTCAACACATATCCAATGGTTTGCCTTGATGAGGGCCCACACTTTCTTTACCTGGTTTATGTTGTCTTTCCTCCCCGTTTATGGGCCCTGTTTCTTTGTACAGCAGGACATACTAGAATTTACAGTGATTTCCCCGGTATGTTTGTTAAAGGAGAATTATGAGGTGAGTGATTTTCACTCAGCCTCATAATCTGAGCCGACCTTGACAATGAAACTGTCGCAGGTCGGCTCAGTAGATCGGGAAGTGAGCGAACACATCCTGGCGCTCGCTCACTTCTCGATTCTGTGCCGGCAGAGAGCCGTGACAGGGGAGGGACTGGATTCCCCCCCTCCCCTGTCCGATCCTCCAGCACTGACTGGCGGAACGGACGGGGGAGGGGGCGAGTACAGCTGGCTCTGCCTCTAGATAGGCAGAGCCAGCTGTCACTCACGCAGCTGGGCGGATCCAGACATAATTGTCGGGATCCGTTTCAGCTGCCGCGTCTCAGTATTCCGCGAGCTGCAGCTCGTGGTATACTGAGCTTTGGGTGACGGCAGGACGCTAGTTTGTGGCTTCCCGTTACCCTTAGGAGAACTATGGGAAAGAGCCCTGACCCTATAGTTCTCCTTTAAGCACTAGCTGCAGTTTTTCTTTTCTCTTATGGTGATGCAGACCCTCTGTATTTCATCTCTTCAGACCATTAATAATACCTGGCATTATTGGTACTTGTTTTTTTTCTTCTTTTATTTGGCTTCCAGATCTAAAGCTTGATGAGATATGTAGTTTACTGCGAATGCATAATTGTGCACTTTACTGTTAATTATCTTAACCAGTGTTACTAATGGCAACTCTTTCAATAGTCTCAAGAAATGTGAGGGACTTAAAGGAGAACTATTGGGTCAGTGTTTTTCCCCATAGTTCTCCTTAGGGTAACGGGAGGACACAAACTAGCGTCCTCCCGTTACCCTAAGCTCGGTATGCCGCGAGCTACAGCTCGCGATATACTGAGACGCCGCAGCTGGAGCGGATCCCGACTTAGATGACGGGATCCGCCCAGCTGCGTGAGTGACAGTTGGCTCTGCCTATCTAGAGGCAGAGCCAGCTGTACCCGCCCCCTCCCCCGTCCGTTCCGCCAGTCAGCGCTGGCAGATGGGAGAGGGGAATCCAGCCCCTCCCCCTGTCACGGCAGAGAGCCGTGACAGGATCGAGAGGCGAGCGAACCCGGTATGTGTTCGCTCACCTCCCGATCTACTGAGCCGACCTGTGACAGTCTCATTGTCACAGGTCGGCTAGAACTATGAGGTGAGTGAAAAGCACTCACCTCATAGTTCTCCTTTAAATTCTAAGGTTAGGAGGGCCCTGGTTTGTAACTTTTTTTAAATATGCCTCCCAGGTTTGTGTTTCCGAAGAGACCTATCTGCTGGGCAATAGAATATTGGGGTTGAAAATAGCATGCATGGGTGCCCATTATCATACAATCTACTCCAAGTACACTACTTGTGTGAGTGTCATTCACAAAGTGCGTAACTTCCACCCTCTGGAACTGAAGCTGCATCTGGAGAGTAAATATATTTTTATACATTCTGTTATTGACAACATGGCTATTGTGCTCATGGGCCTCGTTGTGTCTACCACCACTGGCTGAATCCCAAATACTTTATGCACCTTTGTAGCAAGAGATCCAGTATTGCACATTCTGTATTTTATTTTTGCATGACTTTAATATGCCCTCTTATAGGTAGATTCCAATGTTCCACAATACCCTGCTTGTTTTATTGGAATTGTCCACAGCCCATAGATGAACAGATCTCTGGTGCTGGTCTCGCTCTATACTTAGAGAGTTTACATGCCATACTACCTCACATGGCAAACTATTTCAGACATACTTGGCCATTGCCTCTTTGGATATCCTTCACTCCATACGATATGTTCAGAATCATCTCAGAGCTTGCCCCACTTCTCATAAAGCTCCTTAGACAATAGAGGCAAAATGTGTAGAGCAGAGACTGTTCCACACAGTGGTGGAACTACCAGCGTCGCAGAGGTCGCAGCTGCGACCGGGCACTGGAGTTCCGCCACTTAGAGGGGGCCCAGGACAGGAGGACGGGGCCCATTGTAACCGCTGATTGCCAGGATATTTAATATCCCGGTAACCGCTAATATCAGTACCGGGACTTCTTCCTCCTGTCCTGGGCCCTGCATGGTTCACGCTGCTCCCCCTCACCTTGTTCCGGGCGCAGCGTGAAGACAGTGACTAGTTGTGCCTCTGGTCCCAGATATTGGATAACTGGCCTGTTGTTGGTTTGCTGAAACTGAGGACAACAAAGTTGTTAATCTAGAAGGAGCCATATTAAGTTCCTTACCACAACTATCTCGTTTTCAGGGGTCCACGTGCATACCCCACCCTCCCATTACAAATGCAATCCACCATAAAAGTTTGGCTCTTGGCCAGATATAAGTCCCTTAAACCTAATCATTCGTTTCCTTTACTAATCTAATCATTAGTCAACCCTAACCTAGTCCTTTTCATACAACTTCCAATCTGCAATTATGGGCGAGATTTGGTGTGAAACTGTCACAGCACCTATTGCCAAGTGGTAATCTCTTATCTTTCCAAGACTTAAAAAACAAAATTGTCTTTACAACTGGATGTTCTTTCAGTACCTTCAGACACAGCATGTGGCGTAATTCCAATTCCTTCAAATGATTAACTTTCATATCTTCTCTGTCATTGGCAAACAGACACTCCCTCTTTACACCAGGAGGACTGGAAGGACTCCCTTAAAAAAAGTGCACTATGATCTTCTGTAAAGATAAATTGATTCAGACTCTGCTTTTTGAATAGTATCTATCATACTCCGCAAAGATTGCATAAGATTTACCTTAACCTCCCACCTATCCTAGGTGCACTGCCCACAGATCAAAGGATACTGGTCAAAAATCGTAGCTATTGTTAAATCTAAATTGCATACAGCCTTGTAGTCCAGCCATACCCTTGTACTTTTGGGTATGGACATTGATGTACATCTTTCCCATCCTCTTAAACTTGTGATATTGTGTTAAAAAGCAAATCTTCTCAATGCCACCTCAGCCTTTAGCATAGTTGAACTGATAATCAGTTTATTCCTTATGTACAAGCTAACTTAAATGAGTTGAAATTGTCCACAAAAGTTTAGACACAATGACTTTTATCCTATATGTTAAACAATAAAGAGTTGTTTGTCTTGTGTTTAGGGATGCCCATCTGATTCCAGATCACACAATCCGTGCATTGGGGCACATTGCGGTGGCCCTCAGGGATACCCCAAAGGTGATGGAGCCTATTCTTCAGATACTGCAGCAGAAGTTCTGCCAGCCGCCATCACCACTAGATGTGCTCATCATAGACCAGCTGGGGTGTATGGTGATAACTGGCAATGTAAGTAGTTTGATTTGCGTAAGAAACAATAATTACCTGCACAACACTTGAGTTTTTAAACTGTTAACATCTGTAAGATCTCTTTGGGATACAGAGAGGTTGAACATTGTAAATAAGCAGTTATGTCTGTAAAGGAGGGAGATGATGAGTCGGAATACAATTTAGACAGATGGTAATGAAGTTTGTAGCGTATTAAAAGAGGGTTATCCGTAAACATGGATCAACTGATCTTGAGGGTTATCGGGGAGAATTTAGGGGCAAAGGTTCAAAGTCTGTTAGCAAACATGGTTTCTGGCTTGTTGGCTCTTGCATAGAATTTTTGTTGCATCTAGCACTGTCTTGGTCCGTAAGGCAAAGGTTTCTTTTAATCAGAGACTTTAAGAGGACTTTTCATTAGCAGTTCACTGATCTAAGATGCTCAAAAATGTAAAATTACAATAACCCAAATTGGTTGTTTCTTGACCAGATCAGGACAAGGTTTCATGTGAGTGGAAGAGCACTGACTGCTGAAGTTCCTTTTTTTAAGTGTGCCTTTCAGCAATTTTATCAAATACAATGAAAGATGGTACCCAGACTTGCAAGTGTGATTTAATTGCACTTGAACCTTGGTCCTGGCCAACTACATTTTTTTTTGTGTCCAGTGACATCACTTCAGTAGCCTGGTAGGGAAGGGATATAGGCAAGTGGACATGGCTTAGCCATGAACGGGATGCCTTCCAATATCAGAGTGAGACTAAAATGGATAGCAACTTTAAAAAGTAAAATAAAAAGCTGTTTAAAATGGCTGCCAGGTAAAGTTTATTGCTGAACTAGTCAAACACAAGGGCATCAGGAGCTGACTGATAAGTAGTCCTATGAATGGTTAGCTCTTGGTCTCGGAGCCTTCATGGAACAGCTGTAGCGTCACAAGGAGGCTAAAGCATTGGGTTGTCTGTGTATTATTTTATTCACCCTGAACGTCTCCTTTTTAAATGTGGAATTAAAAAGGATGAATGCCAATTACTTTGGTCCTGTTCAAGTTAATACAGAGAAAATTTGGGTTTTTCTTTTTTTGTAGAAGGGTACCAACACATTTGTTTACATCTGTAGTATCTTCTCTTTCTCTCTGTAATATATGTGGGTTTTAAAGCTGAACTCCAGGAGGAAAAAAAACTAAATTTTGTGAGATTTTCAATACAAGGGGCTGTGAATGGATGAACGCAGTGTCTGCCGTCTTTCATTCACAGAATGCCTGGTATTCTGTGACAAGAATACAAAATGTTTTATGAATGGAGTGTAGAGTAAGTGACCACTAACTGTTATCACTGAACTAGAGCTGGGACTGTAAGTTTCAGCATCCCAAGTTCGGTACTGGGTAATACGTGAAAATAATGATAGTAATAGTGTTACCTATCACAGGGGCATCTACACATGGGACACCCATGATTAGAGGTCATTTATGTTTACACAGCAAATTTAAAAAATATTCGCTTTTTTTATGGCGTTCAGCTTTGTTAAAATTGTGACATAGTTTTCCTTCCAAATGCCATCTTTTCCTGAACAAGCTGTACAATGATTTCAAGTATGTGTTTACAATGTGAGGAATAATTCCCCCGTTTAGATTGAAGAGTATACACCAGATTAAATCCTTAATGAAAGGATTTTTGGCTAATATAATAACCTGGATTCTGTTTATCTATAAAATCTCTTGACTGTAATTTCCCCCTTGAGCAAAAGGTTAGTCACATTGAAATGAAATGGCCAGTAGTAACCATAGAGTCTCTAATGGGTTTTTTCCTCTTATGTTCTCTACAGCAATACATTTACCAGGAAGTGTGGAACCTTTTCCAACAGATAAGTGTGAAAGCCAGCTCAGTTGTCTATTCCTCCACCAAGGATTCCAAGGATCATGGATATAGGTATGTTTACATAATAATCTTTTTATATAGCCAAGCTGATCTTCATTTGGCATGCCTGCATGTTCTGTAAAGCTGGCCATACACCTTACAACCATCGCATGACTTTCATTGCGCGATGGGTGTAAGATTAAAATTAAAATTTCGTACGATCTGCCCATCTTGGACAGGCAGATCGTACTTGCGATCATCCCATGCCCGCCCTGCTGAGGGGAGGGCTTCCGATGACTGCAATGCTGAGCGGGCAGTGTGCTCTTGCGCACACCGGCCCGTGCGGCATTTGTCTTACGAGCACGCCACAAACCCGCCGAAAATCGTAAGATTTTCGGCTGGTTTTGCAATGTGCTCGTAAGACAAAAGACATGCGACCGTACAGTAGAAACGGTCGCGCGCCTTCCATACACCTGCCGATTATCGTAAGATCGCGGGATCACCCGCTATTATCGTACGATAATCGGCAGGTGTATGGCCACCTTAAGTTTCACTTAATAAAGAAAATGTATTATTCAAGCTGCTATCATTATTGAAAACAATGAACACCTGTTAACTGCAAATTGCCTGTTTTCTGTAGGATTAGTCTCAAAGTATTATTTGTGAAATCACTGAAATCTCAAAGGTTTATTTCCACATACTTGTTCAAATAAACATGCTCTTACATGTTATGGATAGAATGAACATCCTAATACTGCACTTCTTCTTCTCATTGTTTCCATGTGTTTGTAAGGTCATTGGATTTTTTAACTTTATTACCTGACTCCATTTTTATTCATTTTGTCTTGAATAACATATAAACTGGTATTAAAGTGATTCTGTCATTGGCATCTATACCTACAGCAGCGTTTATTGCCCCCCTCTTTGCTCAAATGCTAGATGGTTCTGAAAGGGCAAAGCAGTGATGCCCACTCCATCCCACCACGAATCATTTCTATTGACCTGTCATTATAACAAGCTGCTTCACTGGTTAATAGAAATGTGTAGGAGGTGGCAAGCAAGCTCCACAAATACCAGGAAGTGTTGGAGCTGGCCCAAAGAGAACAACCTGGCATTTGGTGTAGAGTGGGCAAAGAAAACCGCTGCAGGTACTTTATACCTGCTAGCAGCTAAGAATGACACTTCTTCATCAATTCTATGGACAGACACTGTTCCTTGGCTGTAATAAACGCGCTGGCAAACATTGCGGCCAACATCCAGGGAGAACAGCTGGTGGATGAGCTTCTGATGAACCTATTGGAGCTGTTTGTACAGTTGGGGCTAGAGGGAAAACGGGCCAGTGAAAGAGCCAGTGAGAAAGGCCCAGCGCTGAAGGTGAGTGTGTGGATTTCATGTAAGCCTAGTTTCAAATATGGTACCGTTAATAGTACTTTTTATCTTTTATGAAGTAAATAGAAATGTCTTATACATTGTAGTAATTTAGACTGTAGCTTATATTGTCAGCTGAAAGTCGGGTGAACTAAGTGAGTAAAATTTCAGCAATTCTGTATGTTTAGTTTTCTTTTGTCATTAAGTGGAACTGCCTGGTATTTTTTCAATAATTAACCAAATATGCCAATTGATATAGCTTAATGCAATGGCCTTCCCGTTATCAAATCCATTTGATTTGTTATTTGATTAGATGTATCTGCCTTGCAATTAAAATAGTTAGTATTTTGAGAAGGGACACAGAACTTGTAGATAATTGGGTTATACTGCCGCTACAGGAGGATTTGGACACTGGCAAACAAGAAAAGGTGACCAGCTTGGTATAATGCCCCCAACTCCAAGCATGTCTCAGTTTTTTACTGGTATCCTAGGAGTTTTGTCATCTTTTCACTACTGTAAACAATGTGTAACTCTTTTTATTAGCCATTTTTGCTTTTTTAAGATTTTTTTTTTTTCCTGACTTCATCTACACGTTGCTTGAGCTGGTCATTTTATACAGCTAACGGGATCAGCGTATTCTGAAAGCAATAGCTTTGGTGGCTGTACCCAGACCTCACAGGGCTGGACACTTGCAGGTACTTCCAGGGATATGACCTTTGGGTAGTGGGTTCTACATTATGACGCTTTCCAGGATTTTGTTTACTGTGTTAGTTAGTCGTGGATCACTTTCCAGGTCCAGAGCTGTGGCACAGCCTTTGGTGTGACCCAGTCTCTGAAGACTCATGTACAGTATGTGTAGGCAATCTCGACTGAGCATTGAGAGCTTTTTTGTTCATAAGAACTGTTGGGTGCTATTATTATTCCTAATTTTACACTGGTTTTCCGTGTTAAAGGGCTTTAATGCTATGGGACTGAGTGTTGTGTCATTAGGTAGAGGTAGAGTGTGCATGCACACTTCATGCTCTCATTTCTACTATACAGTGTAAGGTAGCACCTTCCCGCCACTCCTTATCGCACGATGCACAGTTTCAACTCCGTTCTTGCTGTTGCTTACGGTAACCTGATCACCTCCAGCCATTTAAACTGGTGCTTCCAGAAACTGGTTTATGAGTACCTAAGGTTTTACTTTGTGTATGAGCTAAGTTGTCCCTGCTTAAAAATTTAGATTTTTGTACTAATTATAAAAACCTTTTCATGACGTTTGAGAGACACAGCCTCCGCCCCTCGGTTTTTTGGGTTTTTTTCCACAGATTCTCGCTCTCTGTACGGCTTTGTTACAAAACTGTGGCACTCTAGGAGTGGTAGGGGCTATACCAGGCTGGTCACATTTTGTTTGCCACTGTTCAGGTCCTCCTGTAGGCAACAGTATTGTCTTCCGAGTCCTGTGTCCCTCAATGAACTCCAAGAAAAGGAGTTTACGGTGAGTACAATAATCCAATGGTATCAAACTTGGGAAATCCACTTGGCGCGCGGTCTGTAAAAATGCATAAACAGAATTTACCTTCAGTGAAAACTGTATATAAAATTAACAATAGTTCCAGGAATACAGGAGACTGAATTTGATGTTGAAAATTATGTTTAAAATGAAATTTGATGTTTAAAATGATGTTTTTTTAATGGGTCGGACACAATAAAGCAGTCAAGACAGCCACCAAGGCTGTATTTCATTGTTCAAGGTCCAGTGGGTCTACATCTTGGTTCCGGTAATTTCATACCATGGCTCTAACTGGTACATAACTATGATGAATGGTATTTTACTGCCCACTATGTTTTGCCTTCTATAGAATGTACTTTAGACTTTGTTTGGTACATTTATCCCATTTTGTAGGTTCAAGGCAAATAAGACTGGGTAAACGTTAAGTAGGGTATACACGGGTAGATTTTTACACGACCGTTCATATGAAAAATCCCGTCGGAATGTTCGATACAGGCATCAAAAACTTGCAGATTGTCCGAAATTTTGTTTAATTATCAGTTTGATATAACATGCTTTTTTGAATCAGTGGAGTTTCCGAAAACCACATTTCACTTTTAGAAATTTGTTTGATCGAGAAAAATCTTGCAACATGCTCCTTCGAATTTTTCGCCACTGTGGTCAAAATTGATTTGTTGTATTGACCCCAACAATGATCAGAAAGTTGAACGAACGTTCCAAAATCGATTTGGTTTGTTCAAAATTCTAACCGTGTATACCCTACTATAGTAATGTGAGTGACTGATAGTTATGTGACATTCCATGACACAACTGTGTCAAGGTTTCCACCCACACCATGCAGAGCAAAGTCCTGCAATAGTTGATAGGAAAGCACTACACTGGATCAGAATGTCCTGTTTATTCTTGTCCTGCAGCTATAGAATGATCTCCCCACTAATCTGAGCCCTTTAATAAATGCACACAAAATCTTTTCTTCTTTTCTCTTACCTTAGAAGGGAAAATAATTTTTAAAAATCAATTTTTATGTTTATTAGTTTGTTACAGATCTGATTTGGAGTGCAGGAACATGTGAAATGGTACTCCTAAATTCTGACCAGTGACATGATGGCACCAAGATTTGGGGGAATATAAGAGAACTGTGACATTACTTGCAGAGCAGTTAACAATCACCCTCATTTTTTCCCCCTAACTTCACCATTCCTTTACTTTAACTTTACCCAAGATGATGAAGAAAAAGGAATCTTTTAATGTTGAGTCTTTCATTAAAGATACCATAGGTCTGCACCAGAAACGTATTTGCAAAACTACATCTTTAACTTGGGGGTGTAGTGGTGTGCAAGTGACATAACAAAATGTTAGTATAAATGTCTATTCAAACGATCAAAGATATACAAACAGCAAGTAGAGTTTACACGCAGTCAGATGCAGATGTACAAAGTTTCATTATGTGATCTATTAAAGAACTTCTTTGTCTTTTTGACATATGTATTTTCTTATTATTCTGCCTTTTATTTTGCACCAGGCATCTAGCAGCGCAGGAAACCTTGGAGTCCTGATTCCTGTAATTGCTGTGGTAAGTATTGCTAAGCATGGTACATATAAGAAACAACATTTTTTAGGGGTTTAGATAAAATGAAAGATTAAAAAACAGTTATGGTGTTTTCTCATGACAGCTGTATAGAAGTAAACACTTTTTTTTAATGATGGCTGTTTTCATTCAACATCTGTTTACGATCTGTGATAGCTGGTTTGTGTTTTGAATCAGGTTGCTTTCCTATAGCTGCAATTGTGTGTCAATAATTAAGATATAGATCTATATATAGCTCTATATATAGAGCTATCTATCTATCTATCTATCTATCTATCTATCTATCTATCTATCTATCTATCTATCTATCTATCTATCTATCTATCTATCTATCTATCCAGATAGATAGATAGATATAGATCTATATATAATGTATATGTGTTGTAAATGAAAGATAACATAAATAAATTAACTCGTCACATTAATCACTAAGGCAAAGTGCCGTAAACCACAGCAATATATATACACACTTAAAGGGCAACTTTACCTTTTAGTATCCTTAAAGTTGCCCTTCAATAAATCTCCCCCCCTTCCCAAGTACAGCCCACTTGGGATAATACATACCTTTCTACCTGATCCAGTGATCTTTCCTTCAACGAAGTTCTGGCCAGCTACCCTTTATGCTGCACATGCACTCTGCAACCATATTCATTTCAGTGAGTAGCTATAATCCTGGTGGCCTCCAATGGTTCCTTGGTGTACAGCTGACACCGAAATAAATGTGGCCCCTTTAGGGTTTTTTCCCTTCTGTATCTCATTGGTGAGATTTCCTTGCCTGGTAGACAGAACAACAAGGGAGGGTAAATATCTCTTGTGTGAGGGAAATTCTTGGACAGTTGTTACTGCAACAAGTGTTCCCAATCCTCTATTCTTGTTTTGGTGACCACGTTAAAATCTTTATTTTTTTAACTTCCGGTGACCCTGGTTTATAAGAAAAATTAGAGAGTAGTTTTTCCCAGTGGGGTCTCAGATGACAAAAACTTGGACAGGACTGCTAACCCATCCCGATGCTATCCAAAACGAAACTCTTGGGCTATAGATATACTTCAACGTCACAGCTAAAAAGAAATCAGTTTTCCAACTCCATATTATCATATTGCTACCTACATGACTTTAATAAATATTGTTTCTGCTTTTAGTTGAACATGTCCTTGCACATAAATGTAAAGGGTTATAATCGATAACATACTTTTAATTTACTTGTGTAAATCATAAAGTACCCAATAGGCAGTTTATTAGTTGGGTGCTGGTTTAGTTTTTTGTTTAAAAAAAAAAAAAGAATTAGAAGTTTGATTTTAAACATTTAGACACATGATCAATATCATACTGCTGGGCTGTCCTTCAAGTTAAAATTGAACTATGGCCAATCCTTTTTTAAAACTCAGCAAATAGCAGGCTATTGGCCGCTATGTGCTGACAGCGCAGGGCTGTGCTGCAGCCAGGAAAGATTTGGGCTATGTTCACACCACCATGCTCGGACCAGATCTGGATCAGATCTGCAAAAGCAGGGAGGTGCGTTTTTGATGCGCTCCGTTCCAGTTTTTTTTTTTAGCTTAAAATTGGCTTTCAGGTGCAGTCCAGTGCATTTGCATGAGTTTACATGCGTTCTGGACCATGGAAAATTTAGACCAGCAGTATTTGTTTTTTGGCTGGACCGGAACAGACTGCACTGGAGTAAACAGAGCCCATAAAATACCATAGGGATACATTGTGATGTGTTTTTGGTCCGGGAACAAACTGTTCTGGTCCAGACATGGTGTGAACAAGCCCTAACTGTCACCGCTCTCTGCAGGGAGAAGATTGTGAACCGAGTGATCAGCGGTTTGTGATCCCTCATTTCTCGATCAGTAACGCTGACAGCTGCAGTGTCACATGTTGGCTCAAAGTATGGGGATGAGTGTATTTCACTCTCCCCATAATTCTCCTTTTTAAATTATTCCACTCTATATTTATTTTCAAGGCCAAACAGCCACACTTGATGGGACAATTGTTAAAATGGAATAAATCCCCTGAAGTCCATGTACCAATTTGAAGTCCAAGTGCAAAACTATTTATTGCAACTGCAATCTATTTGAACGCTAACAGTCCACTAAATTTCAAAGACGTAACAGTTTTTCTGAAAACTGCTAGAATTGCAAGGAAGCCAATATATGCCTACAACCTCATATAAATGAATGCATAACAGTGTCAAGGGCTGACCTGCCTCCTCCCCAACATTTCTAATGGTCCATTAATATGCTGCTGGCCCAGAAAGGAAGGTCCTGAAACTGGGTGGATTCAGGCTAGCTCTCAACATTGTCTGAAAATGTCAGAATTTGCATATTCCAGTACCCCTGGGATTAAGGGCTTCCAGGGTACACAAGCAGTCATTTAAAAGTTCTAATTGATCAACCTTTTAAACAAAATACAAAGGAAGAAAATGACGATTTATGAGCTTTATTCTTTTAAAGGATGTTCATGGGTGTTGTCATTTCCTTTCTTAAAAACTGTAAACTTATATTTGTGGAATGTTTGTTGATTTTGGTCTATAGCTGTCAAAATAAAAGTGGTCCAGGGGTGTCCCCCCTCCTTTTTCCCTATTATTACCATCTTGTTTTCGAGTTTAATCTTTTTACTGTTTTTTAATCCCCTTTTGGAATTTGTCGGTTCTTTCATGGTAAAGTAACACTCCAGTGTAAGGAACTACAGGTGAAACTCGAAAAATTAGAATATCGTGCAAAAGTTCATTTATTTCACTAATGCAACTTAAAAGGTGAAACTAATATATGCGATAGACTCATTACATGCAAAGCAAGATAGTTCAAGCCGTGATTTGTCATAATTGTGATTATTATGGCTTACAGCTCATGAAAACCCAGATCCACAATCTCAGAAAATTTTTGGCAGTGTGGGCAGGTGCCAAGTCCTGCTGGAAAATGAAGTCAGCATCCCCATAGAGCTCGTCTGCGGAAGAAAGCATGAAGTGCTCCAAAATCTCCTGGTAGACGGCTAAGTTGCATTAGTGAAATAAATGAACTTTTGCACGATATTCTAATTTTTTGAGTTTCACCTGTATATGGACCATGTTCTTACAATACAAGATGTGCACATTCTGATGTAACCACGTTTATACGTTTTAACACTGTATACTCAATTCTTTTGCAACTATTCAGTTTAAGAGCTCAAAGGACACGTCACATGGGGGTTAATGGTTACATTAGTAGAAAAAGAGCAAATATTTATCAAGCTTGCAAAAACACAACAGTTCAAAAATCTCCCAGGCCAAGCCTGCCTGATTCCATTTCCAATTAGCTGTTAAAGGACTTTTCTACATTAAGTTGACAATTTGAAAGTTTTAATCGACATTTTAAACAAGGAATACAAAGGAAAAACTGAGATGAACATCCATTAAGTTGACAAACACCTAGATTGGAAACTTTTATTCGTTAGCAAAGGTTTGAAAGACTTATTGAAAACTTCATATAGTATAGTTTACAAAAAATATGATATCAGGTTTGGTTTTCTTGCATATAATTGTCTCTCTAATAAACAGGTCTGTATTGTAAGATGACCAATCTGTTTTCCACATGACAGTGGTAAAATCAAATTCTACATTTGTAAGGTCAAATGTGACAAATGTAAATGCTCTAGTAGCTGAATCTATAATTCTGCTATGTACAGCCCCTCTTAAAGACCATTTTACATCTATGTCTGATGAGCATGCTGGGTAGGCGTTTTGTATGTAGTTGCCCTTCCCAGCAACATAAATAGTAACATAATTATATTATAAGCCCGGTGCTTAACTGTGAGAACAGTTCAAGACTTGGTGGGGTTGGACACTCTTCCACAGAAAATAAGACAATTGGTGCGATGTTCATAGATTAAAAAGAGGAAAGGACGGTCCACCATGAAACGTGTCTGAATGGAAAGTGGCGTGAAGCCCACGGTAGTAAGACTAGCAGCTTGTGTTCCTTCTTCGTTCACTGTGATGCTTCCTTGTTGTTGAAACTGCAAAGTGATTTATTAGAGAACATGGTAAGAAAAGCAATCTGGACAAAGTTTTCAGTATTACAGTAATTACATGAGGGCTTGTGTATATAGGGAAAATGTAGCATGTGTTTGGGAGTATCTAGCTTACATTATACATCTCAGTTCTTCACATGTGCCTCTGACCTGCATTATGGTCTGATGTGAACAAAAGCCAATGTACCCAAGCCTTTAGTATGCTTCATGATCAGTATGATCAGACTGTGTAGGTTACTACATAGTAAAGGCTATTGCTAGCTATTGTTTATGTGGCCTGTTCTAGTTTTTAAACCTATGCCTTAAAGCAGAACTCCGTGGAAAATTATTAACCCTTGCAGGGGGCTACACGTTTTGGTCTAGGGAGGAAAATAACAAAGTTATACTCACCCGATCCTGTGACCGCGCTCCCTCCAGCTTCTTCTTCTCTGCAGCGTTGGGATGTCCCTCGGCGTATTAACATTCTATACACTGTGGGGGGAATTTATCAGAACTGGAGCATACAAAATCTGGAACAGATCTGCACTGTAACCAATCAGCTTCTCTGTCTCCTTTTCAAATCTTACCTGACCAAACTGAAGAGAGATGCTGATTGTTTGCCGTGGGCAACTGCGCCAGATTTTGTGTCCTCCAGTTTTGATAAATTCCCCTCACTGTATACAACATGATGCTTTACGGGACCTTAGATTGCTGGAGCGAAGGCGGAGAAAGGCTCCAGGGACTGGTCTAAGAGCAAGCCAGTTCCGTCTCCGAGGATTAGGTGAGTATAACTGTTATTTTCCTCCCTAGACCAAAACAAGCACTTAACCCTTGCAGTATGGGGGTAGCCCCAGTGCAAAGGTTCATAATTTGTTCCTTTCTTTAAAGTACAAACATGTTCTACTTTACCTTTTATTCTCTGATTGTGGTTATTGCCACAGTTTTTTTTCCGCTCAGTTTCCCTTAGATTTTCTATCTTTTAAACAAATAAAGGAATTTGAATTGCCATGTACATTGCAGCTTCAAGTAGGCATGACACCAAGTCATTGTTGACACTAACCATGTAGCAAAGTAATTTTGTATGTGCTCCTTGTGCTTGCATGGTACTCCAGTTTCCTCCTACATTCCAAAGACATGCTGAAAAGTAAACTGGCTCTGTATAAATTAGCCCTAGTATATATGTGCTAAAAATCCCAACTGCAAACTTTTGGCAGACCCTGGTAACACTGTTGAGTGGCTAATGTAGGTCTGGGGCTCATTTTAAACATGGAGCCACAGAAAAAGTAAGGTTCCAAGATTTGAAGTGGAACGAAGTTTGCAGCGTGGTCATGGTAGTGGGGAGGATGGCTATGCAATGTAATAGGAATTGGTCTAATAAACTGTAGATACTAACCAGGCTAATGTTTATATCCTCGTCAGTAATGCCTGAAAAGTCTGCCTTGGCAGTGAACACATCTTTCGCTCCCAAGTTGCTGAGCACATCCTTCAAGTTATAGTTCTTTTCCAGCTTGAAACGTGGTAGATAAATATCCCTTGTCCTATGAACAAACATGAAATAGATACAGCTGAATTTTGTCATGTATCCTAAAAAAATCTATAAACAAACTTCTTGGAAACCGACAAACCAATATAAAAAAATAACTGTACTTTTAATACCCTTAAGGCCTGGTTCACACCTGGGCGTTTTACAGCGCGTTACTACGCGCTGTAAAACGCTCAACATGTGAAAACCAATAATTGCCTATGGGAATGGTTCCCACACGGGCGTTTTACAGCGCGTAGGAACGCGCTGTAAAACGCCCTACGCCCAAAGAAGTACAGGAGCTTTTTTGGGGCGTATTTGCCGTGCGTATCCATTAGGATACAGCCGAATAGCCCTCAGAAACATGTGTTTGTCGCGCGTTTCTTTTACAGCAAATCGCTGTAAAACCGCGCATATTCCATACGCCCAGGTGTGAACCCAGCCTTAGTCCTAAACTTACCTATCCACTATGCACAGCGATCTTCACTGTGTGGCTGCTCGGATCCCCACAGTCTTTTCACGGATAGTATCTAAGCCAGGCTGGGCTCTCCGGTCTTCATTCATTCCTGTGGAAATGCCGTCAACCATTAAGGCCAGTTGTCGATGGCTTTTCCATGAGAATAAATGGAGCTCTTTGTATTTTAGGCGTAGAGAAGCTGACTTGTTTAATTTTTGTTGTATCAGGATGCCTTAGACATGAGAATGCTGTGCTGCATAATTGAATAACTTTTTGTAGGCTTACCTGTTCGTCATAATTTTCTGCCATTTTTCTACCACGTGTGTGTTGAGCTGCTTCTCAAGCAGTTTCATGCCAGACAGTTTATGTGGCATAGCTATCAGCATGCTGATGTTGCCAACATATGGCAGCTGCAGAATATCACAGTCCAGTTCAGAATCTACAGCTACCAAGAAGTTTCCCTTGGTCTTCATCATGGACACTTTCACAATTTCTTTTTCACTCACACGGAAATTTGCATTATGGGTATACTCTACTGGAAACTTATTCTCCCAAGTTCCTATAAAAAAGAAAGTTCATTCATTTGTATACCATTCATATTAACATATAAGAAAAGTACTGCAATTGTGCAAATTCCAACTGTGTTACATTACCATGAACTATGCTAACAGAGCTAACTTTGTATAACCTTTTGAGGAAACGTGGATTGCATTTTTGGCCTTTCCTTTTAAAAATGCTAGTTGCCTGATGTCTATGCTGATCTAGTCCGTATCTGACGACTTCTGCATGCTTGTTCTGAGTGTGTGACTCAACGTATTGAAGCTAGTAACATCCAGATAGCTATCATTTTCACGAAGAGATCTGCAATGGCAGTCTACTTGTTTCTGTTTGTAAAGATGTATTTTAGCCTAACAACCTTTTTGTATCTTTTTCGTTAAATGAACAAGTAAATTGGGTTGCAGCATGGTTTTGGTGTGCAACCTTATGTTATTCACTGTGTATAGATCTTTAGATGGCCAGCTTTCTATTAGAATATGTTATTCATAATATGTTAAAGAAGCACTTCCAGACTAAATTGTGCTCATATCATCTGTAAACTTAACTAGGTGCTTAAAGAAAGTAAGGCTGCAGCTAACGATTATTTTCATAATCGATTCGTCGCCCGACGCCCTAAAAGAAAGTCTTACCTTTGAAATAGATGCAGTTTACAAGTAACATCAGAAGATCTGGGCTAAGGTTTGAGAGTGCTTCTTTAATCAGACCTTTGGTGAGCTGGTGGATGCGTTGGTTGATCTTACTGAGGAATGCTTTTTCTTCAAAGTCTCCAATCTGAGCCTCTGCAAAGTAATAGTTTTTCAAGTTATTCTGAAAGTCTTCCCTAATGGCAAAGTATTTCTGTATGTAGAGGTCATTGACTGCTCTTAAAGTATAGCCAAAGTTTCTGCGGAAGAGTCTGTGAGTTAATTTACGGAAGACCGCATGAACGGTGTATGTGTCATATTTTGAGCTAGCATTAATGAAATCCATGAAGCCTAAAGTAGATAGAATTTGGCTCCGAGTCTCCCCTTTTGTACCCATTGACACTATAGCCATTGCTGTAGACACACCAACTGGTGCTAATAGGATGTTTTCAGTTGCGTTTGTGTTTTCTTTTATGGCCCGATAAAGATTAAAGCCAAAATTGGCGTTGATTATGTTCAGCCTTTGAATCCTTGTTTTTCCTGGGAAAAGTTCGTATATATTCCCTGGTATTTTTTCAGTACTCTTGATATCTGGAAGAACATCAATGATGTCTGTATAGTCGACGTCTTCTTTACCAAATATTTCGTCAAGATCAAGGTAGTCCTCTTCATCATCTCCTTCAGGAATAAGGTCTATGGTCACAGTTTCTTCCTGGAGGCTTTCTGCATTTTGGGCCATAAGACCTCGTGCTCCCACAGCTTTGTCTCTGTTCTCAAAATGCTCAGCCAGGTCTTTAACACCACCTAAGGCTGACGAAATAAGTAACAAACTTGTGGCAAAGTAGAGGAGATTCATTTTGGAAGCCTCTGTTCTTGGGCTTTTTTTTTTTAAAGGAACACCAGAGTCAGCTGTGTAAAGGGAATATAAAAGTTAGAGCAAGATGGTAAAAATGAATAATAGCATAATAATAGCATTGTAACAGTATATTAAAGATTGAATTATGTATCCTATCCACTTGTATCACATATGCTTTCTGAAAAGTATCCTTACCTTACGGCTCTGGTGACTATTCGTAGTCCTAGAATATGTTAAATGCACTGAAAAAGAGCTAAAACGTAACCTTTGCCACCCACAGAGTAAACAGCATACTTCAAACAGAGAAGTGCTTGGTCAGCCAAAGTCCCTTCCTAATGCTGGGGCCCCCTGGTTCCCTCCCTGCTACACACCCCTTCTTCATTTTCTGTGTTCAACAGACCACTATACAAAAAACAAACTGCTAGGCATTAGCATTCTGTCTGTGCAGGAAATATTTTACTGGATTGAATAATAATTGTTTATAGCACGTTACAGCTATTCTTTGTTATCTTATTTTGACACTATTACTATGTACTTGTTCAATAACCTTTACAACAAAAACTCGCCACCATTTAAGTAAACGATCAAGAACCCAACAATTACATGCGTGTCTGCATTAGCTTAGCTCAGGGCTGTTGCTGCTAGCAATACAGATCAAGCATGGCCTTTAGAGAAAGTAGAGGAAATAAATGAAATTCAAGTGGTACATTTAATTGTTTCTTTGAAAATATGTACTCTTAATAAAGCTGAACTCCGGGACTAACGTTGCCTCTGTGCAGGAACATTGTGTAATACAGACCGGTCACTGCTGCTCTCTGTCCTTGTGCAGGGTGACTGGTCTTGCATCCGCCCCCTCCTGTAGTTTTCTGCAGGCAGCCTGTAGTGGGTGGAGCTGCTGGGTACATCACACAGCTCTGCTGTCTGCACAGGCTATGCACAGTTATGATTTCTTTGCTGCTTTTACAATAGAATATCTGGTTTTGCAAAGACATTTGGTAAACGCAAAGTAAGTTTTTATACCCTTTTGGGGTTAATAAGGAATATACTTAAATGAAAGCTTTAGTGCCCAGAGTTCAGCTTTAAGTTGCCCACACACTGTAATTTTTTTCTTCGTTCAATCCACGGATAGTATTACAGACTCCTCCATGAAAGATTAAGAGCGTTAATAGGGAGATCTCCCTCTGTCTGCTTTGCCAGCTGCTGTCAGAATACACGAACAGAAACAGCAGCTCATTGCCTGCCGGCTGTGTTCGCTCAAACATTTTTTCTGACCAGCTCCTTCGATCAGCTGATCGAGGGGTGACAGCCGAAAGGGTGCTTCCTCAAGAACCAGCTGAAATTTGTACAGTGTATGGCCAGTTTTAGCCATACAGTATTGCTTTTTGTATTGTATCACTGTGCTGTGTGTGTGTGTGTGTGTATATATAATATTATAATATACACTGAGTGGCCAGTTTATTATGACCACCTGACGTTTGTAGGCAAATTAGCTATAATTTGGCGCTGAAGTTGCTAGAGGGCCAGCGCATTATAAATAGGGAAGCAGGTTGTTTACCACGACAGTAGAAGTGATTTTTTCTGAAGATATGGGTAAACAACGCGATTTAACAGCCTTTGAACGTGGAATGATTGTTGGCGCTCTGAGCCATGGAGCGAGTATCAGCAAAACAACAGAATTCGTTAAATGTTCAAGAGCAGCTGTTGTTAAAGTGTTTAAAGACTGGACTGTCAGCCAAAAATCTGGGTCTGAACGTGCGAATTGTGGCCGTCAGCGACTAGTCAATGTTTGTGTGATGTAATTTTGTGATACATGTAAATAAGTGTGATTTTTGTATTGCAGATTTTGTGTGTGTTCTGTAACTGGTAGTTATCGGATTCACCATTTATTGGAAGATAAACTTTTATTTTTCCTGTACTTGATTTCCAGCTAACTCGAAGATTGCAACCCATCAAAGAGGCCAAGCCACGTCTACAGAAGCTCTTCCGAGACTTCTGGTTATATTCCGTTCTTATGGGCTTTGCTGTGGAGGGTTCAGGTACTTTACATCTACAATGCAGTTCATGCTATAGCACCATAATATTGCTTTTGAATAGATTCCAGATACCTTTCCTTCATTCTTTGTTTTGCTCTTCACCTTCTGTGATAGTCCCTTGGACACTTCGGATGTCCAAGAACATTTCTCTAGGTCTATTTACCAGCTAGTTTTCTGCTATGCTTGTTTACTCTTCTTAGTCAACTAAACCTACTAATATTATTGTCTGTTATTTAGGGAAATGCTAGAGCTGTTGGATAATCTTTGTGTTTGTAGCCCAAGTTAGCCTGAATAGTGGGCACAGGTTTCCCGAAAATTTTTTTAGATTGTATTTCCACTCTCTATTTAAAAAAACCTCACCGCAGCCATGCGACAAACACAGTTATAAATCAATCCAATGTCCAAAGTAAGAGGTGGTGAGAAAGCCCTCCGAAGTCTCAGTGGCATGGTCCTGTAATAACACCCAATTTCTTTTGCTCTGAATTACTTTTTATTATGGTGTTTTGGTGGCTTACCTTCTGCTGCTTTCCTTGTTGCAAAAACTTTGTGCCTTGTCTTTATGGATCTTGCTACTTTTCTATACCAAATAATGCTGCACACTCCATTATTTCTGTAGAACTGTATTAATATTCAGATAACATGGGGGGACGGGACATTTTATCAATTCTGTTGCATGGCAAAACAGTGCTAAACAGGAGTCGAATTATGAAACAGATTTTCTACAAGGTTACAGCTTGAGTAATACACTCCTCCCTCAGCTGCCCTAACGTAGCTCTGTGACAATAAAACCTGACCACTTCTTATTTATGCATCTGTTTAGATGTGAAAAGCTGTCACATCTTTAGTAATAAATCTGTCTCAGAACTTTGAATAATGTCACATTTGGCTGCCCAGGATTAAGCGCACATGTCTGTAAACCTGTTGTAGAGACTTTAATGGAGAGGAGGCAACCTCATTTGTGGCTAATTATGTTGCTAATTTGCTTAATAAATATGTCCTAAAGCAGGGGTGCCCATTAGGTAGATCGTGATCTACCAGTAGCTCTCAAAGCTGATGCTGGTAGATCAGGAAGGGTGTGGATGGTGGTCCCTTTATTCCATTTTGTTATATTTATTTAGCTGTGCACACATGATTACCTATTAGGCTGAGTCTGCTGGGCCACAGAGAAAGTGAGGGAGTTTTTTTTTCCGTTGGTAGATCTCATGTAGCTCGTCATTTGAAAAGTAGATCTCAACACAAAAAATTGTGGGCACCCCTGTCCTAAAGTATTCACAGCATCAGGGTGTAAAAATAGAACTCCTGCCAAAACGTTTTTTAGTTTTTGATAGAGTAGGGAAACATGGTGTTTTTGGCTGTAAGGGATTTTCCCTTCTTGTCGTGTCACATGGACAGGAGCTGAGGAGAAGGTCTTAAACATGGACATCACAATACAAGCACTTGTATTAACAGAGTAAGGAATGTTTGAACATCTGTTCTTGTTGGTGAGATTCTCTCAATGTATGTATTACTGGGACAGGAAGTGGAGGTACAGCTTCCCAGTGGAGTGTTCCTGACCCACAGGTAACAAGAAAATGAAAGACCCGACAATAAGAGCCTCTGAGCTTTCATAAATATAGGCTCTGTAGAGCATGGTGTACAACAGGTATATGTAGACTAAATGACTTAAGATACAGTTGTTCTGAAAAGTGATTTAAGAAAGATCAAATAGTAAAAGGAATAAAACAGAAGATGGCAAGACAGAAAAAAAACATTTTGAAAATGCCTATCATCTTTTATGTTGTTATTGGATAAGAAAGAACAGAAAAAATGACTTTTGAGGCATCACCCTGAGAACTTCATATATAAAAAAAATATATTTTATTGTTAAAAATATATAGCAAGGTTAAAATCATCAATATAGTCTTATTTACAAAACTGTGAAATTGTATGCCTATCATGAACCTGCAATAAATAGTTATAGTTAACCAAGTAATTTCTATGCAATATCATTAGTATGTAACCATGATAATTATAGATATTTTGCCATGGGGAGGTGCTCAACTCTTCTACGCGTTTCGCGGTACCACCGCTTCTTCAGGAGCTTATGGGCATACACTATAATTTAAAGACAAACATTATGGGTAAAACTTAACAAGTAAACATTGATTACATTGATATGCTGAGTTTCAGCCAAGTTAGAATATATAAATACATTGTTCCCAAATTTCTCTTACATCATGGCTCAAAAATTCCATAATGTTGTTATTAACACTGTAGAGGTTAACACACCAACTTAGGTAGAGATGCACCGATACTGGTTTGCCGGTTACGAGTACTGATATTTATCTTTCAGTACTCGCCGATATCTTGTACCAATACCAGTACTTCAGCTAGCATGGAGCTGTCTTCCCGGCCAGTCAGGAGGCCAGGCGGCGTGTCATTACCCGCTGCCCGGCTTCTTGATTGCCCGGGAAGCCGGCTCCATGCTGTTTGGCCAGTGTTGTGAAGTAATAGAACTTCGGCTCGATGCTGATGGGCTGGGAAGCCGGCTTCCCAGTCCATCAGCATTGAGCTGTCTGGCTGTCTCGATGCTGATTGGTCAGAAAGCCGGCTTCCCAGCCAATCAGCATCGAGCCGGCTTTCTGGCCACCCTACCTTACCGGAGCAGCTGGATGTAAACGGACCATCTGTTTACACCTGGCTGCCCATAGACTTACAATGACCACACGATCGGGTCCGCCTGAAAATCTGACAGGCCGACCTCATCGGATTGCCCATCTGAAAGGGGCTTTAGGACTGCACTTGTCTTGTAGAATGCGTCTCGATTTTTTTGGACAGTTATACATTTCATTAACTAAAATTCTTTTGTACTGAAGGTCTGTGGCCTGAAGAATGGTATGAGGGAGTCTGTGAAATCGCAACGAAATCTCCTTTGCTGACCTTTCCCAGTAAGGAACCTTTGCGGTCTGTCCTGCAGTATAACTCTGCAATGAAGAATGACACCGTAACACCTGTGAGCACTTTTGTTCTATTTCTAATATCCCTTTTGGGGTTTGTACAAAACGGTTAAATGGATTTTGATGTTTTATGTGCAGGCAGAGCTTAATGAGCTAAGGAGCACTATTATTAATCTGCTGGATCCAGCCCCAGAAGTATGTCAAAACATCAACAAACTGGACTTTGCCATGTCCACTTACCTGCTCTCTGTGTATCGGCTGGAGCATATGAGGTGAGCACGCGGACATGCATCCTGCTGACGTGTACTTTTGCTCATGTGTGCAACCTGCTTTCTATTATATATTTTTAATTTATAACTATGTCCTGTCTGTTAGGGTCTTGCACTCCACAGATAAAGACCGTTTCCAGGTCATGTTCTTTTACTTTGAGGATAAAGCTATTCAGAAAGACAAATCAGGTGAGAGTTCATTTTATTTGTTATAAGGTAGTCTTTGCTTTTCATTACTCTAATACAGTGGTTCTCAACCTGTGTAACCTCAGGACCCACATTTGTCCTTGGTCATTAAGTCATGACCCAAGTTGCACTGCAATGGAATGCACGGCATTGCGGTACTGCGCGTTCCGATGCGCGCAATAGAACTGTGGGTGGGAGGTGCATTTGGGGTGCCATTCAAATGAATAGCAATGCAAATCACTTCTCGCACCAAAACACGTGGTAGGTGCGATTGCGAAGTACAGTGCGTTAAACGCACTGTACTAGTGTGAGTGGGCCCTCAAAAACACACAACCACAGACACAATCTCTCACACACATCAAAAAATAATAATTTTGTTCTTTTTTTAAGATCCACCCAGTTCTCCCTATTCTTAGCCGGGGTCCCGTGTGAGCTGCTGTACAGTGATGGAGCTCCATCCATATGTGCATTGCTTGTACAGCTCCCTTGCACACCCTGTAGAGGTGCCAGGAGCCAGTATGTTACATCACACCGGTCCAGGCACCTCTACAGGACAAGCAAGGGAGCTGTAAGCCATGCAGGTATGGATGGAGCCTACCCTACCTCAAGCTGACACTCGGCACCGGACAGCATATTTTGAATGGCTGCTTGGCACAAGACTTGACAGTGCTACGCTAGGGGGAGGCTGGGGAGCCTCTCAACTAGAAAAGTGGAAGGCACACGGGGACCCACTGAACACAGGGTCGCGACCCACTCTTGGGTCACGACCCACCAGTTGAGAACCAAGGCTCTAATACATATTTGTCAGAACACTTCTGTGTGTTATGTTGAGATTGGTTATATCTTCTGCTGTTCATCATAAATCTTTGAAGGTAAACTTTAAATAAACATGACATTTACATGACCTGTCTTTCTTGTGGATAGAGTAGAAAGGGTTAAAGCCGTTTAGTTTCTGTTGCTGTCTGTGTGTCTTTTAAGGAGGTTTGCCTTTTACTTACTTTTACAGCAACTCTGGTCTTTAAAACAGGAAGTGAAGGGAAATCTGTCCAACAAGCGCACACGTGACATGAAAAAACATTTTTGGTAGCCTACACAAGGATTAAAACTAGGGATGCACCGATACCGATACTAGTATCGATATCGGTGCCGATTCCGAGTATTTGGGCGAGTACTTGTACTCTGCTCCGATGCCTAGCATGAGTGCTTCCGGTATCAGGTTTCCCGATTTGGCCGGGAAGCGGCTCCATGCTCTCTCGTCACTTGTGATGAGAGAGCATGGAGCCGACTTCCCGGCCAATCAGGAAGCAGGGCATCGTGTAATGACGCGCTGCCCGGCTTCTTGATTGGGCAGGAAGCTGGCTCCATGCTCCCTCGTGAGGTAAGGTTACCTTATCTTAGTATGTCCAGCCTGTCACCCCCTGGGGCCTCTCCAGCGAGAACGCGGCTTTCCTCCGGTACCCAGCCGGAGCCGTCCAATCACGAAGCCGTGCGCCGTGTAATGACGTGATGCCCTGCTTTCTGATTGGCTGGGAAGCTGGCTTCATGCTGATGAGATGCTCATGAGATGACGAGGGAGCATGGAGCCGGCCTCCCGGCCAATCAGAAAGCAGGGTGTCGCGTCATTACATGGCGCCCGGCTTCCCAATTGGCGGCCAGACGGCTCCGGCTGGGTACCGGAGGAAGGCCACGTTCTCGCTGGAGAGGCCCCGGGGGTGACAGGCTGGACATACCAAGGTAAGAGGGGACTTTCTTGTTAATCGGGAAGCCGGGTGGCGAGTCTTTACACGCTTCCCTGCTAATCAGGAAGCCAGGTGGCGAGTCATTACACGCCACCTGGCTTCCTAAATGGGACTTCTGTTACTCG